CATAGTTGACCTAGCCATCATGTTTCCCCCCTGAGTCCAACTGTCAGAGTTCTAGGGGTTTCCATACTCCCAGCCTATGCAATTCCAATATTTTCCACTCTACGAATGCCCCAAATATTGCTCCCTGTCACAAAAGTACATGTATGAGGCAGAGACAATATATTCCACTTTACTAACCCGTTGCTTGTATACTCCAGATCCAGAAGTTGGAATCATTGTTGGGGCCTTGGTGGGTACCCTAGTAGGTGCTGCCATTATCACCTTTGCGGTGTGCTACGCAAGGAGCAAGGCAAAGGCAAAGGGGAATGAAAGGAAGAGAACTTCTAAAACCACCACAGAACTCGAGTAAGACCTTAATTTGTTGTCTTTACTTGAATATAGTCATTTCTCTGGCATATCTCTCTCAGTCAGCTCTTCCTAAGCACTCCTTTTAGCATAAAATATCAGGGGTATCTTTCTGTTCATTCTCACTACTTTTATAAAAGAATCATGTTGGGTACTGTTTACTGAGTGCTGTGTTTCAGACTGTTCTAAGCACTTTATATCAACTTATTTAACCACAATAACCATTTTAGGTCTAAGAAAATGATTTAGCATATTAGTATACTTGTCTTTCTACCAACCGGTCATAAAATATAATTTTCAATATTTTTTTTTTTGGAACAAGGGTCCCACAAAGGCAAAAGTGCCTAAGGTCTACAGAAGTCAGAATGTGACTGGGCCCACAGCCTATGCTCTTGACCACTCGGCCATTTCTTCTTGAATGTATATCACACATGTTCATTTGTTCATCTTGCCATTTCTATGCTTCCACAACTGTGTATTGGGCACCAACCAGATGCCAAGTAATGTGCTAGATGAAGTGCAAGCTAGAGATAACACCTGAGTCATGGATTTGGGCCTCAAAGACCTTACTAGATGAATAGATCCTTTCACCTTGATATGTTTTCCCACATTTGGAACACTGGTTTTTCTCTCTTGAACTCTAATGATATTGTTGAGACATAACTTTTCTGCACCCAAAATAGAGACATGTGGTCTAACAGTGAGCCAGAATATCAGAAATCACAGAGGTCTTGAACAGATTGGGACATATGGTCACTGAAACCTGTGGCTCCACGTGAAATGTCAAACCCTAACTTGGTCTTCTCTGGGCCTTCTTCCTGCAGACCAATGACAAACAGAGTTACAGAGTTCGAGACAATGCCATCTGAAGATGTTATTCAACTAGAAGCAACACCAACTTCCTTCCATGAGATTGAACCCGATACCATCCTGGGGGCAGATCATGGGCCTATCACCATTCCTGAGTCTTCCCTGGAGCCTGCCCCAGGACCTGAGCCTGCCCCGGTGCCTGAGCTTGAGATCCAGCTGGAGCCCAAGCCCAAACCCGAGCCCAAGCCAGAGCCCGGGATTGCAATTGAAGCCTTGGGTGATAAGGAAAAACCAGAATAAGTCATAGGCTGGTAGCCTAACTGCAGTGTTTATCACTAAGGAACCCATTACTGGCGCTTAGAATTCAGTTGACCTAACCAATCACCCACTACCTCCCTCCATTCTGACCAACCCTCTTTTAACAAGGTGCTCCTACCATCAATCCAAAATAAACAGGTCAAGATAACTACTAAATAAATGCAAGGGTTCCTGCCTTACCAGTAAAATGTACTTACAATTTTACTAACACATAAACATAACTAATTATAAAAGCAAGTGATTTCTAATTCAGTTGAATAAACTGCACCTATTTCAAGTATACAGTTTGATGTGTTATGTTTTGACATCTGTATATACAACTAACACTTGTGTAGTATTTCAGAAAATCTTATTTCTGCATTTTTAGCTACTCTTTGTTACATTCCACATGCACACATGACAAGGTGGCTTTAATTGGATTCAATATTATTTCTATGATTAGTTCAATGCTTCCCATTTTCATATTCACCACTAAGAAAAGAATTCACTATTACCATATCCCAGATTGGAAAAAAATCTTAAAAAATTCCAGAGAAGATTATTTAAAGGGTTCATATTGGTTGGTACATAGCATTTAAAACTAGGTCTTAAAATTAATGCTTCATTTCTCATATTAGATTTCCGAAGGAACCACCCTGTTATTCACTATCTGAGCATAGCAATTTTTTTAAATAACCCAATTTTTAAATGCAAAGTAATGTACAGGCAAACAATTCTCAATACAATGATCCTTTAGTGAATACAAAATGTTGATATCACGGGTGATGTACCATGTAGCTTTAAATGAGCTATTGTGCTATCACTATGTCTCATGCTATCTACTTTGGAAAGGCCAGTTTAGGAAACTGTTCTAAATTGACACTCAAAATCAATTTTAGATAATCTGAACTAATTATTTAAATTGTTTTTACTGTTGGGGTATTCCACATTAATAGAGATATCATTCTTGTATGTTAAATAGTAACTAAAATGCATTGATATCACCTCTTCACCAGTTTAAAAGCTCTTCCATTGATTATATTTCACCTATATCCCACCTTGAAGAAATTTACAGGTAGACTTTTTCATTTACATAATGAATCAGATTTTAAAGCTTATTTTAAGGTTCAATAAATAATATTCAATAACATCTTATTTTAATGATCCTAAGGTAAATCTTCTATAAGAAACTTTACTGAAATTTACTTTATGTAGAATAAACTGCACCTGTTTGATATGTTGATGTGTTTGACATATGTATATACCCAGGAAACCACTACAACCATCTAGAGCATTTCCATCATCCCAAAACATTTCCTATATCCCTTTGTGCAATCCCACCAACATCCTGGACCTAGACTACCAGTAATTTGTTTTCCATCATTTAGAGATTAACTTTGCCTTTTCTTAAACTTCATATAAATGGGATCATTCAGTAAGGAATTTTTTGTGTCTGACTTCCTTCCAAGTTGAGTCCTTTTTTTAAAAAAAAAATTATATTTATTGTTGAAAGTATTACAGACATCCCTTCCTCTCCCACCCCTCATTGACCCTCTCCACCCCTTTTCTGCCTTCATCTCACTTGTCTGTGTCCATGTGTTATGGATGTATGCATACAAGTTCATTGGTTGATCTCTTCCTATCCACCCTCCCTGCCTTCCCTTTGAAGGTCAACAGTCTGTTCATGCTTCTGGGTCTCTGGATCTATTTTTGTTTATCAGTTTATTTGATTCATTAGATTCTACATATGAGTGAGATCATGTGATACTTATCTTTCTCTGGCTAGCTTATTTCACTTAGCATAATCAGCTCCAGGTCCCTCTATGCTGTCTCAAAGGGTAAGAGATCCTTCTTTTTTATAGCTGCATAGAATTCCATTGTGTAAATATACCACATCTTTTTTTCCCACTCATCTACTGATGGGCACTTGGGCTGTTTCCAGATCTTAGCCACTGTAAACAACACTTATATGAACATAGAGGTGCATATATTCTTTCTGATTGGTGTTTCAGGCTTCTTAGGATATATTCCTAGAAGTGGGATCAGTGGGTCAAATGGCAGTTCCATTTTTAATTTTTTTTGAGGAAATGCCATACTGTTTTCCATAGTGGCTGCACCAATCTGCATTCTCATCAGCAGTGTACTAGGGTTCCCTTTTGAATCCTTTTTAAATAAAGTAATGAAGATCTACTAGTCATATCCAGATTTTCACGTAGAGGATTTTCTTAAACTGTGGAGCCCTTTCTATATATATTCTAACTGTACAATAACTGAGACCCTAGGTTTTAAGATAGGTTGGCATTGAATTCACATTATACTTGTTCAGAGCCATGCAGAAAACAGCAAGCTGTAACTTATGTATTTTCTTTGGTGTGTGTTAATTTTAGCTAATCACATGGGTTTTTGAAGTAGCTATAATTACATTTAGGCTAAATATATTATGATATATGGTGTATGATGTGTATAGGAATCAAAATGATGGTCTTAAGAATGACCTTATATTTAGAGATTAAAAACTAAATATCAGCAGTATGAAAATTTCAACAATCAGAATGCCAAAGTAGGTGGAATTCACTTTTCCCTTCCACTTTTATGACAAAGGCAAATCACAAGAGACTGACATGTAATAGTCAACCACTACACCTCAACATTTCTGGTGGATCAGTGCCAAACAAGATGAAAGGCACTCTTGGTGATCTTACAGAACTCTGTCTTATTAGCACTGTTCTGTTCAAAATATTGAATAGTCGGATCAGTGGTTTTTAACCTTTTTTGAGGTCATGGAGCACCTTGAGAACCTGCTAAAAACTCTGGACCCCTCTCTATAGAGAAATTCTTAAACACAAAAAAATGTTATGTACAGTTTTAGATAAATTGCAGACAGCCTGAACCCAAGATTTAGAACTAATGACTTCGATAAAAATGTGGAAGGCACGCAATAAATCTATAGATGCTCTGCTCCTAGAGGGAATGACTATTATGTTGTATGAATCATGACAAAAATGATCTTGATAGCCAGGAAGCTGAGCTAAAAATAGCATAATCAATTTAACAAGACTGGAAGGAGAGGTCTGCATTTAAAAATAGAGTACATGTTGTCCATGCAGAAACCCTACCTGGGCAAGGTTGGAAAGTAGGTAATGTTAATCTGAAGTAGTATTTTTGGATCTCTCCTTTCAGTGCCCTTCCTGGCTTTATGCTGTCTTATTTTCCAGGATTCTCATGTGTCTTTTAGCTCAGTGACACACTCAGTTCTGCATTCCTCAGACAGGATTCATTGCTCAGGATCCTTGCCACCCTTTCAAAAGGTAGCCATTCTGTAACCTGTTTTTGTCCAGTGAACATGATCTTTCATCATCCAGTGATGTCATTCAGGTTGATAAGGACTTAGCTCCCTTAGGTGTATTTACCTTTAAACAGGGAACTCTGGAACACAGACAATTCCTTAATCCAGAGTCTAAGCAGTGGTATTTCAAGAATTGGAAAAATCCAGAGGGGAGTTATTTTTGGGAAAAGGAGACTTCTCAGTCCCTCCCAAGTCAAGCGACATGGGTTACAATCTACTTTACCATAAGGCCACCCTGGGTCAGTGTGACTTTTATCCCAGTCTCCTTAGCCTTCTGTTAGTATATCCATAATATACCATATATTTATGTTTGCAATGAGTCCTGAGACTCTATATAATATATATATATCCCAGTCTCCTTAGCCTTCTGTTAGTATATCCATAATATACCATATATTTATGTTTGCAATGAGTCCTGAGACTCTATATAATATATATATATATATAAAATAGTAACATTTTCACTA